ACGTCCAACAGAAAAGAAGCGGACTGCATCCGGGATGTGTTCAGAAACATGTTTCGGGGCTGGGTGGGCTCAGGTCTTCCTCGTGGTGCCAAAAGGGAATCCTCATGTTCATGTTAATTGTAAGAACCGGGAAATTGCGGAACTGTGCTAAGCATCCCTCCCAGCCAGGAAGTAGAGGTGAGTTCAGGTGTCGGGCACTGATTCCAACACGGCATGGCGAGAAGTGATGTTTCAACTGACCAGCCAGCTTTGGATGAATGAGCCGTTCATGTTTGCGTGGCAGTTGCAGGCTGAAGTGCGTATTCGACCCATTGGCTGGCAACCTTCATGCCTCTCCTTTCCGAGTAGGCCTGCAGTCTGGCTGTTAAAATGTTCAGGTGCACTGGCTGGGATATTCTTGGTACGTAAGTTGTGAGGTCACGTCTGGGCATCGCAGGTGAACCTGTCACGTCAACAGGGGGGAGCAAAGAGGAGCGGGCTGGATGAAGGTTACTGCCATTGCTTGCTGTTCTCCATGGACTGTTGAACAGCGTGATATGTCAATAATACAGAAACCATTCACTTGTGAGCTCCTAGTGAATTGCCACACTCAGTCACTAAATGATATGCCTGCAGCTCGCCATCAAATCCTGGTTCATCAACCTTGCGGCATGCAGCTTGACACACCTGCAAACACCACTGTGCACATCCTCCTCTTCATCGATGGTCAAGTTTGCTAAAGCTTCATGGAAAGGACGCAAGCTGTCCTCCTCAGTGCACGTTTTCGCTAAGTACAGTACCCAATTGGCAAAGTCTGGGGTGCCAGCCATCTCCTGTCCAAGGTACATGGAAACAGAGCGACAAACGCTGTTTGAAAGGCGCCTGCTGCACAGCCTGGAGATCTGTTGCAGGCCTCCGGCTCAACCAGCCAAACAATTCTTACTCAACGACCTGCTCTCCTGATTGAATCATTGATTCCAACACTGGGTACTGTTGAACCATCTGCCAAAGATGGGCTCAGTGCGGAAGATGCTGCTTGTTAGACTGTATCCGAAGTGGAGACCGTGAAATGCAGGACGCGTGACCGGCTAGGCCAGGCTTCAACACAGCGGACTCAAAAGAAGCAGTACTCGCCGCATCGTCATCGGCGTCAGCATCATTGCCGGCCGCGCCGTCGTCCTCATCGTCCTCGTCGGTATCTGTGTCGTTTTGCGTTATGGTTGCTAACCGCTGCTAACGCTTGGGATGGCGGATGGTGATTAGCTTCTGCGGTAGCAGCAGCTGCTGGGTAGATAGTGGTAGATAGGCAGAGCAAGAGGTGTTTCTGCCCAAGCCTAGGCCTAAGCCCACGACGAGGACAAAGCTTGGCTGTCTTTTACTGGACCCACGCCGAGACCTTTTTTTTTCCAAGTATCGCGCGTTCTGCGCAGTTCGGGTGTGCAGTGGTGCGCTTCGCCTAGTGCAAGCACATATTGGGAGCTACAAAGCTGAGGCTTTACCGTCTTTTTGTTGTAGCCAATTGCTTGCAGGGTGGTTGATTTTGTAGCACATACCCAAGAACAAGACGAGCACTACCAATCGCAGTCGTTCGAGGGAAACGTCTTGGCACAGACGTTTGCGCAGAGCCCGCACAGAGGCCAGAACGAGGTTGAGAACTTTCATCAGCAGCCCTACGGCCGTAGACGTTACACAGATCCAACAAGATATACACAGTCTATGGAGTCATCATTCTCATTCCACTTTGCCTCACAGAGCCGAACAAGTTCTAGCCAATCTTTCAAGCACGATCCCTCACACAGACAACAGCAAGCACGACACAATGGCGGAGCGACAACCTTGGCACTGCAACAATTGCTGGCGATTAAACAAAATTGCCGCAGAGCATTGTGGAGGCTGTGGTCAGCATTGGATGCGGGGATACACTTTACAGTCACATTGGCAGACGGGGAACACTCATCCTGGACAGTACGGAGAACGAACAGCATCACCCAGGAGACGCCAATCCCCCCCAAGACGGCCTCCGCCCCGGAGTCATGCAGCAAAGGGCGGCCAGCAGCACGATATCCAGGGGGATGCCCCCTATCACGTTGCCACATGGAACTGTGCGGGGCCTCCGTGGAAGGCACCAGAGAAAAGGGCTACGCCTGGTGCTACGACCAGTCTTCCAGAGGAAAACGGGCAACTGCAAGAATTGGTGGGAGCTATCAAAACAGCGTTCAATGGCCAGAGCATTCCTGGACCCATCACGGAAGCAGTGGCAGAAGTAGAGAGTGCATCGGACAAAAAGATGACGAAGGATCTCCATGCCAGAACAGCGGAACTGGGCCAAGCCAGGCGGCAGTTACATGGCATTCGGAAGGCCAGGAATGCGCAGGATACATCATGGCTCCAACATTTACAAGCCACGGCGGAGGCCTTGGACAAAGGTTCAAAGGAACACGAGGAGAAGAGGGCAGACTTGGACAGACAGGAGAAAGAGGCCAGGCAACGCGCTGGCCATGCACGGCGGGCCACTCGCGAACTTGCTTCATCTTCTAATGCCAAGCCTGCAGAGGTTGTGGTCGATTCAGACTCCCCTCGGACATGGAGACAGGGGATGTTGTGGCCATGGACGAGGACGATTCCATAGTGCAAGCGCAAAAGAAGTTGAAGACCACATTGACAGCGTTGCTGACCAGATTCCGGAGGCAGGTCAGCAGAGGCGAAAAGCAGACGATACATCCAAGAATGCGCCCCCCAATTAGGCCGCCACGTTGCATGGGCACCCAGGAGAAGTCCAGCATCACCTGCTTCCGTTGCGAGCCTGAGGCCCTCTGCCGACGATTGACTTGCCGCCAAATGCGAACCACCCGACAAAACGAGCGATTGCATGCAATATGGGAATATAACCAGACCATGGACCGCCAAGACACACTGCAGTCATTTCCCGCAATGCGGGCCGTTGTGGGTGCCAAGCCCAGGTCTTGCTGCTTGTATAGCAGCCTGGAACAAGACCGTTTCAAACCAAGTTATCCCTTCCTCGTGCCATCATACTCTGAGACTAGAAGCCGTGCATAGTCTTGCATAATAAGCTGCTTCCACAACCCCTTACAGAACCCTAGATGTATTGCTGAAACACCGTAGCCTTATGAAGGACTGTGCAATACCTCAATGCCCTTGTAAAATCTCCTTAAGCATTTGTCTGGCAATTACAGAAACATCCAGTTGCATAGTTGGGTTGACAGGCCGAACGCGGGACAGCGAGCGGGCAGGGGGAAGGAAAGCTAGAGGGGGACGGAGGGGTGAGTTAGTTGCCGTCCTGTTGCTTTGCTGGCAGTCCATGTCACACTTCATGTGACACAACTGCGTATTGCTGTTGCCACACTCTCAAGGTTCCAGGGAGACAATACTCGACTAGCGCGTAGAGTGGTGAAAAGAAGAGATGCGCGCTCAACCATGGCCCATTATTCTAGGGGGTCCAGATGCCAAAAGGAATCGGACATCTAATGCAGATCCACTGAAATCGGATTACGGCGGAAGCAAAATGAGTAGAAATGTAATTAGAATCAATGGAAATCTGATTGGATTGCAAAGAAATCCATGGAAATCCATGGAAGTCCAATTAAAATCAATGGAATTCTGATTGGATTCCAAATAAAAATCAATAGAAATCCAATTAAAATCCATGGAAATCTGATTGGATTCCAAATAACGTCAATAGAAGTCTAATCAAAGTCAATGGAAATTTGGTTGGTTTCCAAATGAAATCGATAGAAATCTGATTAAAATCAATGGAAATCTGCTTGGGCTCCGCAAAAAACAATGGAAATTTCATTAAAATCAATGGAATCGGCTCCAGGTATCCTTTCTCTCGTTGCCCTACGCAGACTCAAAACTAATTTTGCGATGCTCTCAAACTCAAACTGTGTAAGGGGGGGCCACGAAGGGTGTCTTCCCTCCCCCTGCCCGCTCTTCCACTCTGGTCGGCCTGTCAACCCAACTATGCAGCTGGAGGACTCTGTAATTGACATACAAAGGCAGAAGCAGCAGCACTAGTCGCAGCTGTCATGGCTGCTGCTGCCGTCGCGGCTGCTACTGACTAAGTGGTGCGGCTGTTGCTGAATCGCCACTCGTCTTGGTCCCAAGCATCCCGAAAAAGATGCCAATGTCTCCTGCAACACTGCCGAGCCTGCACACATGCAAGGCCTGTGAGTCAAGCACAGTGTTGTGTCCTGGTATCCGGCAGAGTGTCCCTGCTACGAAGGTGAGGGAGCGTGCAGGCATTGGCCTCATAGACAAATTGCAGAGGTACAAACGAAAGCCAGCCAGAATTCTCAGCAATCTAGGCCGCCTGCCAGCTGAAAGTGAAACTGAATTTGCGATGGCCGTTTACAGTCTCACCTTGTTCCTGCACCTGCAACAGCACATGCCTCAAACAATCAAGCAATAGGCAAGCACAAATGTCTCATCCTGAAGCTTGCCGCCGGCAGCCACAGCCTGCATGTGCTGTGGTACCTGCACGGCGAAAGGACCTACCACTTGACTTCTTGAAACGTTTGAGCAGAGCCTGAAGCCATGCTGTATCTGAGCACCGCACCCACAAGCACAGCGAGTAGCTCGACCGCACGACCTGTTCGTCCATGCCTGCTGAAGGCTCTGGCTGGCAATGGCAAGTGCAAGAGCGGAAGTGCTCAGCTAATCCGTGTAGACTGTGGGTGGATGCGTGCGCTTTGCTGAGACAGGCCGGTGTGCACGCACCCTTTTTGTAGCTCACCCTCCAGAAAAAGCGACTAAAGCCAGCTGCACTTGGTCTTGGAGTACTGGACTGTTGTACACATCGCCAAGCTCTGTGCCACGCTGTATTGCCGCAGCCGACAAACGACGCGCCTGCTTGAAAGCCAAAAAATCTTTCAGACGCAGATGCCCCAACTGTGAGAGCTTCCAGAAGTAATCCGGCAGCTCACTTGGGCCGCGTGCTCTTCCGCAAAATTGCAAAGCCGTCATCACGGTTGCAGCACCGCCCGCATATTCCAATGGGGCGCCTTCTCAACGTGCCTCCACTCCGAAAGTGGCAAGACATCGTGGAGGCTGAACCCGCCATGTGCTTGAAAGGGTGGCGCCTCGACATTGCGACTTCACCCAGGTTCCGTCCACAACAGCTTCACATTTCTTGCCGCAGTGTTCTGCCCGAGGAGAATGCTTGCAACCTGATGGACCCGAGATAGCCATCTCTAACAGCGAGAGATTGCAAGCAAAGCATCGAAGCCACGGATGCGGCCAGCAGGATTCTGCTTGGGTACCAGGGGGCTCATCGAGTCATCGAGAAGCATTGCCTTTAAGTAGGAATGCTGTGGGCTTTTTCTGCCAGGGTCAGTCCCTGAAGGACCGCCCGCCAAGTCTGAAGAAGCGGCAGTTGAATAAACCTTTCACGAAAGTTGCTAGCTTCGTTGTGAGCTCCTGCCGATGTGTTGCCAGGAATGCAGATGTGATGCTGCCTAGACAGCAGGGCCAAGCCCCCATAGATGCTATGACGTTGATTTCGGAGTTGGTCCCAGCTCTGCAAGCAAATGACGAAGCGAGGCAAGTGCTCCGGCATCAGCTCAACGACGGCAGAGCCTTGCTCAGTTCAGAGTGCTGGAATCCTGCTAAATTAGATGAAGCATACCTGAAGAAATGTTCCAGAGGCTACAACTTTGCTCCAGCCCTTTCGAAAATGTGAGGCAGACGAACCTGGGATGGGGGACTGGAAGCTGATGTTCTGTACCGCCGCTTTGGGGGAAACATCATTTGATGTACCTATCACACAAGGGGCGGACGCAAGTTTGTTTGTTAGCCAGAAACAAACGTTTCCCGGAAACTTTTCGAATCTTTACTATTTGGTCAGAGATTAACCTTCATGGGAAACGTTAGTTTCCCGAACTTACGCGTCCAGAAAACCTTAGTTTGCCCCTGTAAACAAAGGTTTCCAGAAAACATTAATTTATCCAGAAACAAACGTTTGCGGAAAACGTTAGTGTCTGCCCAACAACAAACGTTTCCGGAAAAGGTTAGTTTCCGCCCGAAAAACACACGTTTCTGGAAAACGTTTGCTTCTGCCCAGAAACAAACGTTTCCGGAAAAGGTTAGTTTCTGCCCGAGAAACAGATGTTTCCAGAAAACGCTAGTTAGTTAGTTTCCACCCAAAAACAAACGTTTCTGGAAAACGTTAGTTTCTTCCCATGAAACAAACTCTTCCGGAAAACGTTAGTTTCAACACAAACACAAACGTTTCCGGAAAAGGTTAGTTTCTGTCCAAACGGTCGTGTCTGCCCATGAAACATACATTTCCAAAGTTTCCGACTTAGTTTGTTCTAGGCCCTGGAACGCTTCGGACCCCGCCCCTGATAAGTCTGAACCGAAAGGTTAATTAAACCTGGAAAACTTACGCTTCCAGAAAACCTTAGTCTGTTCTGTAAACAAGGGTTTCCGGAAAACTTAAAATTTCTGTCAGAAACGTTTCCGGAAAAGGTTAGTTTCTGCCCAACAACAAACGTTGCCGGAAAGGCTTAGTTTCTGCCCGAGAAACAAACGTTTCTGGAAAACGTTCGCTTCTGCCCAGAAACAAACGTTTCCGGAAAAGGTTAGATTCTGCCCGAGAAACAAATGTTTCCAGAAAACGCTAGTTAGTTTCTACCCAAAAACAAACGTTTCTGGAAAACATTAGTTGTCGCCCAAAAACAAGCATTTCCCAAGTTTCTGAATTAGTTTGTTTCCACCCCCCCGGCCCCTCCCTCCCTCTCCGCCTTTGGCAGGCTTCGAAATAAACGTTGCTCGTGCGGAAACAAACATGGCAGCCTAAAGTTCGTTCCCCTTTGAAAACAAACCTTTTTGCCTCCGCCATCTTGTCACCTATCAAGCTTAGTAGCCAGGTTCCATCGCTACCATCCACGCCAAGCCAGCACCGTGAGCCCCAACGAGAATGCTCGCCTCAGCATGCGGCCAAGCCATTCAGTCATGCTACCAGCATATCTTAGTCTGTCTTAAAATTGTGTAGTGAACGAACCACACAGGACCTGGCAATAGGTGCCTAATGCGCACTGCGCTGCATGCGAAACCAGTGAGAACTGGTGCAGAAGAGCAAGCGCTTCCAACTGTTGTGTTTGTGTGACGAAGCGAGAGTTCCTTTGGAGCACTCGACGCAGAGGACTCAAATTCTTGATGTGCCGAGGCTGCCCAGCTTCTCGCTGGATGATTAATACTCGCATCACTCGCTGAGATCCATGGCTGTGCTGCATGTTGTGCACCTGTTGACGTACATCGAGGGCAGCGCGCAAACTTGCGCGGAACACTCGCAAGTCTTGATGGCCAACCTGCGTGATAGCCATGTCATACCGGAAGGAGCGGAAACCAACCAGCGCCTCCCTAAAGCAGGACATGTCCCCTTCTTGCGCAACAAAACGAAGTGGGTTGCTAGACAGTAGCTGCAAAATGGCGTCATGAAACTTTGCAAACCGTGCCGTATCTGAGCTCCCTGGCCTATCAACATCCCAGCGGTGTCCACCATTGCGAAGCTTGCTGTCAAAAACAATGCCCAGGTGGGTGTCAGATGTATTCCACCCATGCTCTTGCTTGAGCGCTATTGCAGGTATCCACCAGTGGAGAGCATGCCAGAGATTGGGATAAGGCGTTCCAACTGGAAGTATGAACAGCCTACCAGCAGAAAAAAGATGTCCTGTCATCCCTGTCTGCAATTTTTGCAAGTCTGGTTGACCTAGGGTTGTTAGCCATTTCGTGCTCTCGAAAGCTCCGAATTCTGAGCACAAGGCAGAAGACGCGCCGTCAGAATCCTCTGGTAAGACATGGATCTTGCCGAAACCGAGACAACCTGCCTGGAGCATCTTCGGACCCTTGCACTGCGGTCGATTCCACGGCAGCAATGTGTGTGGACTGCTTCGCCAGGCAAGCAGTCGCACAGCCTCTGCAGGCTGCATGAGAGCATCACCCATGTCTGTCCACGACAGCCCTACCAGACGAGCTATGTTGTAGACCAAATCTTCAGCCGACACGTCCCAAAATCGTTTATCCAAGCAATCTGTCCAGGGCGCTGCCACAAGTAAAGCGAACGAAAGGAAATACAGTTCAGCGGCGCGTGCCCATTTCCGTTGAAGTAGGCACGACTGTGCAATGGCTACGTTTGATGCCACATCGCCAGCCACACAGTTTGTCTTCGATAAAGTCAAATCAAAATGCGACAAAGTTGCAAGCATGCCCTCCGCATCAACACAGGACTGCATCACAGACAAATGATGTGCTTGTTGGCCGGGGTCGACAAGAGACTCTACGAAGAGTGGGTGATGTAGCCAAAGTCTCTTAATGTTGTCGCGCGCTGCAAGGAGTGCATCATACCCTTGACCTGCGCAGGCGCAGATTTCAAATGGGCCGCTACGAGCTCGGCTGAGCAAATCTCGCAGGCGTTTCCACGTCCGCGCTTCCATCTTCAAGAGCCACTTGGCTTCAGGTGTTGGAGCTTCTGCGGGCAAAAGACCCCAGGTCAAGAAGTCAGTGTTTAGCTGGTCCACGAGGATGGCATAGTAGCTGAGTAGCTGGACAATTGCGTGCAAAAGCGGCCCATGTGAACCAGTAGAATTTGCAATCGATTTACGCAAGCGCTCAAGAAAGTCAGCAGCAACATGGAGTGTGGGCCATCGCTGCCTGCGAGGTCTGCCAGCTCGGATTCTGCGAGTCCATCTTGACGCGAAGCATGCGCCAAATTTGCACAAACGGCGCGTGGCCGAGGCTCTGTCCGAATTCTGCAACCAAGTTGTGCGAAACTGAGCCAACTCACTCTGAATTTCCGTTGTCGGGACCAAGCAGCATCTCTGAAATGTAAACAGCTCGTCAAAACAACCCGAGCGCTGTGAAAAACAGCAGGACGCAAATGAATAGCCATCAGACCAACAACCGGCGTCTCGCTGCATTCTACAGTTGCGACCGCTGTGTCCTGTTCGATTTTGTCCTGCTCAGTTTTCGCTGCCACTCAAATGCCCAAAATGCGCTGCGGACAAAGACACACATTAAAAAACACACACACACACACATGCGCACACGCGCACACACAAAACACAAACAGACAGAGACGCATGCAAGAAGCCGGGAAGCTAAGTTAGCAAGCCTGAATGATGCCATCACAGCGCAGCTTGAACTTGCAGAGGCCACGGCATGGAAAGAGCGCTCTGACCCACCCAGGATGTTCCTCCGCAAGGAGGAGGCTGGGCTTTCCGTCCACAGGGGGGAAGCAATTACAAGTAGCCGCGCAACCCTTTCATGAAACCTGGGATGGGCCTTTGCACCTTGAGCACGCAATCGCAAGCCGGACTGCGCGAGAGAAGGGTTCTCAACATGAAGGCCCGAAAAGGCAAACAGAACAGGATCAAATGAACTTCCTGGTTTTGCGCACCGATCCCTGGGGGCAAAGCCGAAGCACTCTAGGCCCAAACCCTAACCTCTAAACTACCAAACCCTAAGCTCTAAACTACAGCCTTACTACGAGCCACACGCAAGAGCAACGCACTCCAGCAGGCAATCAAGCTTTCTTGATTGTGTTTGGAGCCTGAAGCAGGAGCTTGAGGTCTGGCCGTGGCAGTCTGTTCAATTCTGCGCGTGGCATGGTCGGCGCGATTCTTTCTGCAAACGCCTCAACCTCTGTCGAAGATATTTCGGCGTTCACCTCCGCACCCCGACATCTTGAGAGAGGGTTGGTTTTCACAGGTTTGATTCCAGGCCCCGCTGCCAATCTGCCCTGACAATGCTTTCGAATCTTTATCAGGTTTGCTTTTGGGGGTGGCCAGGCCTCCCAGGTTGTTGAGCCCACTGTAATCATGGCAGCTAGGCTCCGTCTAAACCATGCATCTGAAGAAACGAGCCAGCCCAAAGAACACAGTTTTTTAAACTCAAGGTGGCTGCAACGGACAAGGTACCGAAGATGTCAATGAACGGTCAGTTTGATGTAGGCATGTTTAGTGCCGAAGGCATCCTGCGTCATGGCCAACTGCCCATCGCCGTCTTCCTCGTCAATCCATATCCTGTTTGATAGTGCATGCTGAGTCAAGAAAATGCCTTCAAGGATAAGGTCCAGGCACCGCGTGAGAGCCAGGAACAACTGCATACGTCACCTTCAGCCATGCTATGCAACGGAAAATGGAACACAATCCACTCCTGTGCCTCCAACTTCACGGTGAAGTCATGCTCTCTCTGCCATTCTTCTTCCGGCAGTGACACCTCGCAAGGTGTAGCCTAGTGAAACAGGAAGAAGAGTATGGAAGAGCAACTCTGAGAGCCTTGAGAAGCTCTTCACCGTCAAGCACAGAGCTCGGCATGCAGCTGAACTCCAACCTGAAGCAGGTTTCAACTCTTCACCGAAGTCCATCCCGGCTGATGGTGTCCTTGTGTCTGTTGAAGCAACACGTATTTCCTGGATCTTCAGGCACCTCAAGGTAAGCAGAGCTTCACGCCAGTTGCACCAAGGTAAAGTTATTCAGCAATGCAGTTTGCTGGAATCCAGGCTCATGCGAGCAAAAGCAAACCTCGGGCTGAGCCTCCGCGGCACTTGAACTCAACCCTGACATTCAAAAGCATTACAGGCAGCATCTGCTTCGCACCTGCTGCGCGCTAAGCTCCAGCATGCAATGAGCACTCAAGCTGCGTGCCTCAGCATGGATGTGCAGAAAATATTCAGACTTGAATGCGGGGTCAGTTTGGGCAACGGCCTCGAAGTCTGGCACGAAAGTCAATGCCTGGATGTGATGCATGATAGTCTTGCGCGGCTGCGAACTGCGCCATACGTAGGGCTAGGGACCCGCGCAACCCTGCGAATGGTCATGAGCAGGCCGCTTTGCTGGCAGCAGTCCTGAAGGGCGAGCTGAAACATACAGAATCCCTGGATTAAAGGCAGTTGCGCAGGCTTTCACTCGCTTGAAGCAGTCCCTTTGAGTCTGGACATGGTACTCACCCTAAACCTGTACTGCAAAAAACAAGCCTGTTGAATTGGTTCTGAGATGTTCTAAGCTGATAACCCAGCCTTAAAATCCTAACCCATAAATTCTGCGTCCGGCAGCCTACATTCCAGCGTTATCGGCTGCACCTGCTCCCCTCCAGAAGAACCGCAGCCCATCAATTGCTGAAAGACTGAGTTGAGGCTTCTCTGACACTGCACTCCCCAGCAGGAAGCGGCTCTCCTGTGACTAGTCTGCTTACCGGAGCCACACATGCAGCATGCAGCCAATGTAGCGGGAAGCTATACGGGTGCAGATCCTAGATGTTCCATTTTGGGCATTTTGTGGCGCAGTGTTTGTCCAAAAGCGTTTGGTGGAGTGGAGCTGGGCATCATGAAAAAGCTGAGAAGCCGGCCATCTTGAAATGCGAGACTCCTGCGAGCAGGAAGGACTCGGAGCGGCACAGCGCTCTACATGGAAATTCAGACTCACCGCCTCGTCAACGGACTTCAATCGGACGACAGGCTCGGGGTCAGTTACCTGAGGCCTTGAAATTGAAAATCTTTGAAAATAAGAAGGCCTTTCCTTTCGGCCGGATGCATCCAGCCGTTCACGGTGAAAAATCTCAAGCCCCAGACGAACAAGATGACGAGCGGCCGTGAGGGACTTTAGCTCAGCATGTGTGTCAAGTCTGAGCCCCAGAGTCTGCCGCAAACATCTGACATAAGTGATCGTTCCATGATGTTCCATTTCTCTGGCATCCTGTAACGCGGCATAGCGCCTTCTATCCCAAACGAAAGCATTCGTTCTTGCAACGCATGCAGTTTGCCAGTCTGATTCGAGCGATGCCAACCGAATTACAACCATGTTGGAAGAAGGCCAAACAATCACTATCAGCCCATCACCCCCCGGAAGACGGACCACGAGGAAATCAAAGCCTCCTGCAAAGCAACATGGCTCAATTAGATGCATTTAGCGAGCTTGTTCTCGCTATACAAAAAACAAAGTGACACAACCTCAGAGTCAGAGCCGCTGGTTCACCATGCAAGTATGATAATCATCAGGCACGCTGGTGCCGCTAGTGGCAGCATTCACACGATCTTTGCAATCATGCACCAGCTTGGCTCTCGGGCAGGCCAATGCGCACGCTTGGCCCTCTACTAGATCCAAGCCACTCAACCCAGTGCTCAGACCTACCACGAACCAGCGGACAGTGGCGCAGTTCTTTCTTACAACACGTAACAAATCTCAGGGCACTGCAGGGATACAGCTGGCTCGCGGGATCCACGGAAAGTGCACCTCTTTCTGAATGTTAAGGCTTGTTTGAGGCGTTCTTCCATGCAGACTGCAAGTCAGAGAATGAACGTCCGTCCGCCACAGCTGAGCTGCATGCAATTAGTGGTGACAAGAACTCACTCTGTGTGGTTTATCCATGCTTGCCCAACTCTTGGCAACTGTTTACCACGACTGGCCACTTACCGCTTCGTCCCTTTTTAATCCTAACTTCTTGCAGGTGAAGACGAAAGGCTTCAGGTTAGAAATTGACCAATGTCATGACTCATCCGGCCAGCTGTTAAACTGCCTTCTGCCGGATATGCAGCCCCCCCACACCCCAACAGAAAGCTACAGGAATCGCTGCCAAGAGGGCCTGCTTTTTACGACGTCCACGCGAAGCAAGGCTTGGACGAGTTACTGTAAGGGTTCTCAACCACGAAATTGCAGACAGACGGGTTTCGGATACGAACAAGCACTGAACAACACATCACAGATGTGCTGCCATCGTGTTGAGTCTTCTTGAAGGCTCATACACGGCATATGGGAAAGTGAAGAAAATGTAGGGATAGTGGCAACCATAGGAGAATTCTGCACATCTTGGGTTTCTCCCGGAAAGGGAGAGAAAGAGCAAAAAAAACACCCAAAAGAAGAAAGACCGTCGCAACATGTCCAACCCTGCCGACAATTTCCCGAATTGGGAAACATTCAGCACCCCGTGTGCCATGAAGTTCAAATGTGCTGGATTCTTCCCAAGTTAGGGACATCAAATCTAGTCTGAGATTCTCGACTCCTCCGGATGTTCCAGCGGCCCCTTTGTTCTCATGTGTGCGTTCTCATATTCCTGATGTTAAGCATGTCCTCTGCAGTCCTCACATTCGGATGATGACCCATGTTCCTTTTTTGGGCAAATTGTCATACTATCTATTTTCCATGGTCTATCTAACGAAGCTACCTGATCTTCTCCGTGCTTCTCGCATTCCTGCTGCTGCACGTGCATTCTCAATACAGGTGTCCAGTACCTAAGGCTTGCTATCAAAATTAACCAACTAACTTTTTCGGCTCATCTTCTCTCAAACTTGGATAACTCATATTAGTCTGACGATCCGCGATGGCGCTAGTATCCCCACATGTTGCAATGGCATTCCAAATACTCCGCAGGTACTCACATCTCAACCCCCAAAACATCTAGGCAAGCAAAAGCAAGCCAAATATCCAAACTTCCGAAAAAAACTTTAGCGAAGACTGTGCTCACATGGCTACCGCTCAGTATGAAAG